GGGATTTGTGTGGATTAACCAGCAGATTTCCCCCGTGTGATGATGTCCATAGACTCAAAGATTAGGAAGGGACCCCTTGGCCATTGGTTCCAATCCTGTGCTCAATGCAGGATCTCCAGATAAAGCACTTCCAGCAGATAGCTGTCCAGCTTTTTTTGAAGATGTCCAAAGAAGGACATTCTGCAAACTCTCTAGGCAATCGGTCCCATTGGCCAGCTGCTCTTACTGCCAAGATAGTCTAATGTTCAATTGACAGCTGCCCTCTTGTAACTTAAAACCATTAGACCTGGTCCTACCATATGAGGCAGCAGAGAACAGGCCTACCTACCTCCTCTCTGTGACAGCCCTTGTGGTATTTAAAGAGTGCAATCATGTCACTCCTCAGTCTTTTCTTCACCAAGCTGAACATATCCAGCTCCTTCATTATTTCTTTACATATATTGCTCTCTACACTTCTTATCATTCTTGTTGCCCTTCTCTGAATCTCCTCCAACCTGTCTACATCCTTCTTAAAATGAGGGGCGCAGAACGGAACACAGTGCTCCAGATTAGGACTAACTAGAGCTGAATATACAGGGAACATTACTTCCCTTGACTTGGAAACTATATTTCTATTAATTCTGGCAGTATGGTGTAGTGGTTTGAGCATTGGACTATGACTTTGAAGACCAGGGTTTGAGTGCTGGGTTCACCTTGTAAACCCACTGGGTGACCTTGGGAAGGTCACATTCTCATATTCTCTCGGCAGACGACTAATTGAGTCATCTTCGAGGCAAGGAAGAGGAGGGGCAGCCGCATGCGCGGCGCCCTTTCCTCTTCCTGAGGTCGTCCTCAGAGCCGCCGGCCCTCCGCATGGCCGGCGCTCCGGGGACAACCTCCTGCCCCAGCATCTGCACGCGCTGCGGTGGAAAAGGCAGGGAAAGTGCGCCCTATGCTTTTAGGGCGCACTTTCCCTGTCTTGTGGAAGGAGAGCTGATTTAGCGCTCCTTCCAGGGACGCCGCCTGAGCGCCGTGGTGTGGAGGCTGCGCTCCCACGGCGCTCCATCTGGTGGCGTCTCCAGCGCCTCCATCTGCTTCCCCCCTTAGTCTTAGAGGATGGAAATGGCAACTTCCCTCTGAAGAAACTTGCCAAAAAAGAAATAGAGTCGCCTTAGGGTCATCATAAGTTGGAAACACAACAACAGCAATATACTATCCACCTTCTTTGCTGCAGCAACACACTGCTGGCTCATGTTCAGTTTACGGTCAACAATAATCCCAAGGTCCTTTTCACATATAGTATTGCTGAGCCATGTGTCCCTCATCCTATAGCTATGCATTTGTTTTTTTGGGTTTTTTTGTGGCCTAAATGTAGATTTTTACATATTGAATTCTGTTCCTTTCTTCTAATGTGTTAGCCACTCCTTCCAGTTTTGTGTCATCTGCAATCTTGATAAGGATTCCTTCCACCCCATCATCTAAATCAGTCATAAAAATGTTGAAGACTAATGGCCCTACAGTAGAACCCTGAGGCATTCCACTTGATACCTCCTTTCAGTATGAAGCACAGCCGTTGATGATCCTGTGAGCAATTTCCCAGCAAATTAAGAATCCATCTGACAGTATTTCTGTCTATTTCACATTTAATCAGTTTGCTAATCATAATGTTATGAGAGACCTTATCTTTGCTGAAATCTAGATAAAGACATCAAGAAATCCCTCCATCTAGAAAACTAGTGGCCTAAATATAAGATTAGTTTGGCATAATTTATTCTTGACTACCTCATGCTGGCTCCTACTGATCACTGCACTGTCATCAAGATATGTGCAGACAAACTCTTGCATAATCTTTTTTGTTTGTTTTTTTTTTTTGGTTTTTTTTTGGGGGGGTGGCTATTCAAGTCAGACTGACTAGTCTAGTTTCCTGGCTCTTCCTTTATGCTTTTTTTTAAAAAGAGAGACAATGTTTGCACTTCTCCATCTTTGACACCTCAGCTTTCTCCAAGATTTCTCAAAAATGATAGCAAGTGGTTCAAACATTATATTAACAATATAGGGGGGTTGCAGACTGCCAGAAATAGTGCAAATTGAGTCCACTTTTAGGGTTAGGGTTAGTACTAGGGAATCATTGGAATTGGGGTTTTTTCTGAGACATTGAGCCTTCTCTGTCAGAGAGCTCTGGTGCCACAATAAAATACACTTCCCATGATTCCCTAACCCTAACCCTAACCCTAAAAGTGGACTCAATTTGAACTATTTCTGGCAGTCTGCAACCCCCCATAGTTTTTAGTGAGTTTTTCAGGCCATGTTCCAGAAGACGTTTCTTGACATTTTACCAGCAGCTGTGGCTGGCATTGTCAGAGAATGCTGGCATGGAAGTGAGTGGAGTATATATACTGTTGGTTGAAAGGAAGTGATTTACATGTTAATCTGTATATTGTTCTGTTGTTGAATGGCAAGGCCTCAGGATGTCTATTTAATTATAAATCCATTGTCTGCTAGGAACCCCCCTCACCCTGGATGGTTTTCATTTGCATTTGCTGGGTCTTGATTTTGATGTTTTTAAAGACTGGTAGCCACACTTTAAGGGTTTCTTCTTTCCTGCTGAAGTTGTCTAGGTGTTCGTGGATTTCAATGACTTCCCTGTGCATTCTGACCCAATTGTTGTTGGCATGGTCCAGAATTCAGTGTTTTTAAATAGCATTTTATGCCCAGGATGGTTTATATGGTGTTCTGCTACTGCTGATTTTTCTGGCTGACCCAGTCTGCAATCTCTCTCATGTTCCTTGACTCATCTTTGAACACTGCATTTGTTGGTCCCTATGTAGACTTGACTGAAGCTACACAGTATGCGGTAAACTCCTGCAGCTGTGAGAGGGTCTCTCTTGTCCTTCTCTGAGTGAAGCACTTGCTGGATTTTCTTGGTTGGTTTGTAAACTATTTGGAGGTTGTGCTTCCTTACCAGTTTCCCTATTCTGTCTGTGACCCCTTTGATGTATGGGGAAAATACCTTCCCTTTGTTTGTCTTCACTCCTATGGGTATTTCTGGGTCTAGCAACCCTTCTGATGTTTGAGCTGGAATAACCATTAGCCCATAGAGTCCAGTCTAGGTGCTTCAATTCATTTTCCAGAAAGCGGTGTTCCCAGATCCTTTTTGTCCAGTCTACCAGTGTTTTTATTGTGCTTTTTTTTTGTCCTTATTGATGGTTTGAGTTCATGTGTAGGTATGTGTCCGTGTGTGTAAGTTTTCTATATACTGTGTGGCCCAACTGTTGGTTCAGTTTGCAGGTGACCAGGACATCCAAGAATGGCAATGTTCCTTCTTTTTCTTTTTCCATTGTGAATTGGATGTTTGGGTGCATGTTGTTCAGATGGTTCAAAAACATGGTCAAATCTTCTTCTCCATGGCTCCAAATGGTGAAAGTGTCATCCATTTGGAGCCATGGAGAAGAAGATCTGACTATGTTATTGAACCATCTGAACAACAACATATTAGACTGGTATAAAGTAGTATGGCAAATGGCAATTAATAATAAGTTAACATGTAAAATTAAGGTTTTTTAAAAAAGGAAAAATGAAGAGAAATGATTTTGAAGCAATATGGAAGATATTTGTACAAAA